GCTGCGCCTGGGCTAGGACTGGTCCCGCAGGCGCAGGTTAGCAGGAAGCTCTCCACACACTCACCGGACCTGGGCTAGCTGGAACATTTTCTAAAGTAGACCACATACTAGTTCATAGGTCATGCTTCAGTATATGCAAGAAAACAAAAATTATCCCGTGCCTATTATCTGACTGCAGTGCAATGAAGCTGGAAATAAATGACAAAAGAAACCACAAACCCCATAAATACAAGGAAATTAGTCAACACCTTCTTCAGCAACCAATGGGTTACAATGAAATTAAACAAGAAATTAAACAATATCTACAATTCAATGAAAATTCAAGCACAACTTATTGGAATTTATGGGATGTAATAAAAGAAGTTCTTAGAGGGAAATTTATAGTTGTGAATTCACACAGTAGCAAAACAGAACGTGTACAAATAAATACCTTAATGCTGTATCTCAAAATTCTAGAAAAAGAAGAGCAAACCAAACCCAAGGCACAAAGATGGGAGGAAATTATAAAGATTATAGCAGAAATTAATTCAATTGAGACAAAGAAAACAATACAAAGAATTAGTGAATCAAAAAGCTGGGTCTTTGAAATATTAAATAAAATTCATAAGCCCCTAGCTAGCCTCATCAAAAAGAAAAAAGAAAAAAGTCAAATTCAAGCAATAAGGAATGAAAAGGGTGAAATTACCACAAATTCAGAAGATCATCAGTAGCTATTCTAATAATCTTTACTCTCACAGAATAGAAGACACAGAAGAAATGAACAGTCCTAGAAAGGTACAAATTACCAAAACTGAATCAAGAAGATATAAAAACTCTGAATAACTCAATAACAGCCAAAGAAATTCAAAATGTAATAAGAAACATACCAACAGAGAAAAGTCCAGGTCCTGATGGATTCACAGCTAAATTCTACAAGAAATTTACAGAAGATATAATCCCAATATTCCTCAAACTCTTCAATGAAATTGAAAAGGAAACAATCCTCCCAAAATCATTCCTGGAGGCAAGTATTATACTGATACCAAAACCAGAGAAAGAGGCAACTAAAAAAGAGAACTACAGGCCAATCTCCCTCATGAACATAGATGCAAAAATCCCCAATAAAATCCCAGCAAATAGAATACAGCAAATCATCAAGAAGATCATACACCATGACCAGGTAGGATTCATCCCAGGGATGCAAGGATGGTTCA